TAAATATAAGACAATTTATAGGGGCATTCACTATAAACATCATTTATTTTCACCCTTTCTGGCGAAAGTGAAACTAACAGCTGGTGTGAAATGCGCTAGGCTGTACTGTACTTGTCCCTCTCATTCTGCACCAGTACAAAGTGTTTTGCTTGCTTGAGTGTTTCTGCATTATATGAGTGGCTTTGGAAAATAAATCGCTGCACGTTTCAAATGAAAAAAACACGACTTCTATTTATGAAAATATCACAGTTGGGAGATTTATAGCGAGTGGTTCCCTGCATTTTTACAGCAAATCGCGTGATTACAGTACTAAGCCGCTGCTCTAATGCTATTAAATTAAAGAAGATGAAGGCTACCATAGAGAGAAAAAAAATTAACAGTGAAAGTAATAAAAACTTGTAAAATACATTTTAATGGGCATAATTAAGTGTGAAAATAACAGAAAGATATACAGTCAAACCAAAAATTATTCAGAAACCAGATATAATGTTTGATATTTTTTTACTAGTGGGTGCAGGACACTACAGTTCATTTATGTAAAGTGAGGATAGCAAAATAAACTAAACTGATATATTATACCCAAATATTCTTCATACAGTGGACTACCAGTAAAATTAATACAAATTTGGGACCAAAAATTATTCAGACCGAGTCTGGGAAAAAACATTGAAGTTGAGGTTTGCATGAAGCTGGGTGACAGCATGCCCAGGAGACTACAGGCTGTCATTAAGGCTAAGGGTCACCCGACAAAGTATTGATAGTTGTGTAAATATTGACAGCTGTATGAATAATTTTTGGTTTATTGTAATCCATTACATACCTTTCTATCAAAGTTATCTGACATTATCAAGCTGAATTTGTTCTGACACGGTTTAACTCTGAGTTCTTGTCATATTTTATTATCATTTTCTAAACTATAGCGAATAAACTGTGATAATGTGAGAAATGTTGAAGGTGTCTGAATAAATTTTGGTTTGACTGTATCTATTTGATAAATTAAGTTAACCAACTAACATTATACATACTCTTTTGGTTTCTGTACCCAATATTTAAAAAAATTTACAAATGCAATAAAAATATTGGTATCGGTACTCGGTATCGGCAAGTACCAAAAATAAAAGTATCGGTATCGGGCGAGTACTGGAAAAAGTGGTATCGGTGCATCCCTAGTTTTTATATAATGATTATTTATATAACATCTATATGATTAAGAATTAGAAATGATTTCTATGATTTCTAAATATATATACAGTGGGTACGGAAAGTATTCAGACCCCCTTAAATTTTTCACTCTTTGTGATTACATATTTAATAGTTTTTTTCCCTAAATTTTTTTCACTTTTGATCTGTTAATCTTGTTAATGTCTAATTGTTAATATAAAGTGTTACCAAAGACCCATCTCTTGAAGACTAAGGTCTAGCTTAGCGAGCATCATGTTTTAACATCTGTCTGTCCAGTGATTTGTGCGTTGTTGTAAGAAAATTTTATAAGAGAGCATGTGCAAATAAAATAACTTACACACACACAGGTGTATTCACTAACACTCAGATACACCACAGATTAACACACATGCTGTGTGTGTGTGTGTCTCAGGTATCCTGTACGGGACTATGACTCTGGAGTTGGGCGGTCAGGTGTCCATCGCCTGTGAGAAGACGGGCTACAGCGCTCAGCTGGAGTTCAGACTCAAGGTGTGTGTGTTTATACACTCATGTCAGGGTGTTTTCAAGCTTTTGTGACATTCAGAAGAACAGTGGGGCGCCGACAGAAAGGCCACACACATCACATCCGTTACAAACCAAATGCCTCACTGATAACGGCACAACATCCACAAATGAGCGATGCTTCATGTGACTCGATTCAGTGGTGTGACTGAAATTTCCCTGTCCATCAGCCGTTCCTCGGCAGCAGTGATAGCGTGAATCAGATCAGCGGGAAGATCAAGCTCGGGAAGGAGGTGCTGGCGACACTTGAGGGGCACTGGGTGAGTATAATAGTCAAAAACCAGACCATCTGCACATAAAAATCACATCAGGCAATGCAAGACTATTTTTAAGCAGATCTAATTGTATTTGGACCTGAAACTAAGTTTCGTAGATGTCTTTTAGAGGTCAGGTGTGTGTGTGTGTGTGTGTGTGTGTGGTGTGTTTGTGTGTGTGTGTGTGTGTGTTTTAAAAAAAGAGGGTGCATATTACCCATGTTAGTTTCACTTCACTGGTTACCTGTTAAATTCAGAGTTGATTTTAAGGTTTTAGTTTTTGTATCTAAAGCACTTCATGGTCTTGCCCCAATTTACATTTCAGATCTTCTCCATTTCTATTCTCCTGTCAGAACGCTTAGATCGTCTTCTCAGAAGTTATTGATTGTCCCAAAATCTCATTTAAAATCTAAAGTGAACAGAGCTTTCTCAGCCTTTATCCATCAGGTCATCCCCTACGTTATCTTCTTTTAAATCATCTCTTAAAACATATCTTTTTTCTCAGGCTTTTGTTTTGTTTGGTGATGTTTTGCATTACTTATTGTATTATTTAATGATTTCAAATTTTATATTGTCTTAATGCTTTTGTTAGTTGATATTTCGGATGTTTTGGCTGTGCAGCGCCTTGGTCAGCACTCGTTGCTTTTAAGGTGCTATATAAATAAACTTGACCTTGACCTTGTTTTACAGGACAGTGAAGTCTTCATCAATGATAAGAAGACGGGTGAGATGGAGACGTTCTGGAACCCAACGCCGGAGCTGAGGCAGAACCGTCTGATCCGCTGTAACGTCCCTCCTGAAGAACAGGGCGAGTTCGAGTCCGAGAGGTAACCATGCTCGTCACCTCATTTACACAGTGCAGAAAACCTCAAATGTCATGGGAATTGGGCCATTTTTGATGAATAAATCAAAAGTAGGGCTGTATAATGAATCAGATTGTGAAATGGACTAGTGTCTGTGAATATTAATCCATAAAAATACTATTAAACTGCAAAAATACTACTACTAAAAATAAGAATGCAATTGTTCAAACTTAAATTTTTCATCCATGCTTTAATTCTAAAAATGAAAGGAAATAATAAATGTTTTTTTAATTAATTAAATTGTTCATGGTTTTATGCATTCAGTTTTTATTACATTTGTATTAAATCAAAAATCCAGGAAAAAATAAAACAGACATCACAGAATCTCTGAATACATTTCATTGGGCCCTATTATTCTCAAAGTTTTAATAAATGATTAAATTATTTGAGCTTTATGAATTCACTTGATTAGACATGATTTTGATTATTAATATTTTATTAAACCATTAAATCGGTTTAATAAAATCCAGAAAAATAAAAAGGAAAACACAGAATTTGGGAAAAATTAAATCAGTTAGACATGCTTTTTAAATACTAACGTTTCATATAACCATTAAAAAGAAATCTAGAAATATGATTTTATATATTTTTTAAATTATAATTCAAATGGAATCCAGAAAAATGTAAACAGAAAACAAGAAAGAAATGGAAATCCAGAAACATTAAACAAAATCCTAAAAGATTATTTTAATATTTTTAAATTATTAAATCTTTAATTATTGTTTAAAATTAATAATATATTATTATATTATTCAATTAAAATGTAATCCAGAAAAAAATAAAAACTGAAAAAAAGGTATCGTGAAAATGTATTTTATGTTAAAAAAATAATTTTAAATCAAATCTACTAAAACAGATTAAAACAATCTAGAAAAACTGAAACAGAATTTGAAAAAACAAAGGGATTTAATAGGGCTCTGAGTGATCATTAACGCTCGGTAACAAGAGAAATAACACCTAATTAGGAAAATGAACACATTTTCAGAAGTGTTTCTGTGTCATCTTCAGGCTGTGGCAACATGTGACACGGGCCATCAATAACAAGGATCAGACAGAGGCGACCAATGAGAAGTTCATCCTGGAGGAGGCTCAGAGGAAGGCGGCACGCGAGCGCAAGGCCAAGTGTGAGGAGTGGATGCCCGCTCTGTTCGAGCAGGACCCGGTCACCGGAGAGTGGCATTACCGCTATGCCGAGTAAGTCACGCCTGCCTGCTCATTTCACAATACTCCTTCTGCAGTGTGTATGCAGTCAGTGTGTGTTATGTATGCTGTGCAGAAGCAGCACGGATTCATTGTGCTTTCACACCGGACGAGTTTGCAGTCTGCTCCTGATCCGCAGCTGTTTGCCACAAACACAACCTTTGTGACCCTGGAGCACAAAACCAGTCATAAGGTATATTTGTAGCAACAGCCAACAATACACTATATTGGTCAAAATTAGCCATTTTTTTTAATGCCAAAAATTCTTAGGATATTAAGTAAAGATCATGTTCCATGAAGATATTTTGTAAATTTCCTACCGTAAATGTATAAAAACTTCATTTTTGATGAGTAATATGCATTGCTAAGAACTTCATTTGGACAACTCTAAAGGTGATTTACTCTTTTTTTTTTAAAGTTTTTTTGCACCCTTAGATTCCAGATTTTCAAATAGTTGTATCTCGGCCAGCTATTGTCCTATCCTAACAAACCATACATCAATGGAAAGCTTATTTATATATTATGTATAAATCTCAATTTCACAAAATTCACCCTTATGACTGGTTTTGTGGTCCAAACCTAGCCAAAAAGCCAAATGTGTTGACTGTGAAACATAGTAGGCTTTAATTATTTTTGAATAATCCATTAACATGGGTGCGAAAAAAATATGCACCGCATATGCACTGCAGACGGAGTATGTGTGAAGCAGGGTTAACACCTGCTGCCCCCTGCTGGACAGGAAGTGCATTGTTTAGTGTGAGGACGGTGTGTTTCTCTGTGTCCTAGCACTCGTCCGTGGGATCCGCTCAATGATCTGATTCAGTTCGAGAAAGACGGCTGTATTCAGACCAAAGTGCGCCACAGGACGCCTATGGTACGTTCAGCCAGTGTAGTTAGTCTCAGTACCCAGCAGGGTTCCCGGAGGGACAATTACCTGAGCCAGGTACGTCCTTCTGTCCCCACCCCTCCCTCGTTCTACCCACAATCCCTCTCTCTGCTTCCATCTCATCACCGCCTGCCGCTGCCTGCGCTCTCTGTCCATTCTTCAACCAACCAATCAGCATTCTGCAAAGCAACCAATCATCTGCTGCCTGACCTGGTCACATGACCGCTGTCTCATTTTCAGCTTTTGTTTTTTCTTTGTGCTCTTTGGCATTTGCAAGTGACTTTTGCATGCATGCCTGTGTGATCTTTGTTTGTTTTTTTGGTTGCATCAGGCGTGCTTCTTTGCAACTAGGGTCCAAAATTAACATTGGTTTGTGAATCTTTGTATGTGGAAACGTTGCTTTATTCACAATATTTTTAGTGGTATTCTGAAAGATTTTAATAAATAATAAAAAGGTTCAAAATGATATTTGCCTTTCAGTAACAAATGTAAAAAATTAATAAATTATTAGAAATTAATAATAATAAATGTAATAAAAAACTAAAATAAATTCTTTCTTAGGATATCATATAAAAATGTAAAATGTAAATATAAAAATGTAAATTAAATGTTAAATAATAAAAATGGAAATTAAATTTGCATTCAAACAAATAATAAATGTAATAATAAAAAGATCAGAAATTGTATTTACATTTAAATAAATGAATGCAATAAAAATAAGTAGAGATTAAATATGCATCTAAATAACACATTTAAAAATAAATAAAAATTATTTGAAATTACATTTGCATTTAAAAAATATTTAATTTAATATTTAAGATTAATTTAAGATTTAAATAAATACATTTAATAACAGAAATGACTAAAAATTGAATTTGCTTTTAAATAAATAATTAATCTAATAATTAAAAAAATTAGAAATCAAATTTGCAACTTAGATGAAAACAAAGCTAGTGACAAAAATATACAAGAGGAAAAACTGCTCAATAATTGCATTATTATAGGGATAATAGTCTTTTTTGAACCCAATATACAGCTTCATGGCCAGTATTTCATATGTATGGTTGGTAAAGTTGTTCTTGCCTCATTGCCATTGGCAGATGTGGAAAAAAGTTCATTTTGGACCCTGTTTGAAGCCTTTCAAAAATGCCTGCGAATCACATACACAATTCAGACTTTCAGTCTTAACCATAACATAAAGACTAAAACATGTGAATGTCCTGCTCTTGACGGCGTGTGTGTTTGATTAGGTGACGGGACAAAAGCGGAAACATAAGAGTGACAAACCTAAAAGTCCAGAAAGTGGCTGCTCGTCTCCGGAGCCGGACCGCCAGGACTCTTCAGGCAGCGAGAGTACGTCAAACACACACATAGACATGCTAATAACACTCCAGAAGCTCATCATGATCTTTCATTCAGGGCACAAGAGCAAACACAACAGCCGCCTCAGAAAGAAAGGAACAGATCTGAGTGAAATCCAAAGTGCCATTGAGTCGATCAGACAAACCCAGGAAGACATTAACAGGTGAAACGCCTGCTCACCTCATACTTAATAAACTTATTATTTTTAGGGATGTAACGATATTATCAATATCGTGATAGTCTCGATATTATCGTGGTCACACGACAATATGAAACGATAGGTCTTCTGGGCAAAAAGTGTAGTTTTTAAAATATATTTACTTCTTATTCTTACATAAAAGTTCTTTAAAGTTATGTTTTGGGCCATTATGCTTTGGCACAGCATCTGTCAAACTAACTATAACTGAAAGCACAATATGGCTTAATCCCTTCATCAAAAGAAAAAGTAAAAAGAGGGTTGAGTCCCCTTTAAAGTTCAGGTAAATCAATTCAATTATTTTTTTCTGACTTTAGTTTTCTAGGTTAAGATCATGGGTTGGAGCTCTTAATTTTTAACTCTCAAAGTGCATTGGAATAATTTAACTTTAAAATGTACAAAATAATTTTTTCCCCCCAATCCTTAATTTGTCTTTTTTTAAACACCGTGATAAATATCGCATCATGGACTTCATATCGCAATATTATCGTATCGTGAGATTTTGATTTTGTTACATCTCTAATTATTATATAAAAAATGTATCAATAAACACTTGAAAAAGACAATATTAACTTTGGTTTGTCTGGTCACGGGAGTCTAGGAGCGTCAACGCTTTGAGGAGTCGAGTGGCGAGTCAGTCGTCAACGGAAAGCTCATTCCTGAGGCATAGAGACGTGGCCATCATCCTCTTCCTCATCTTCCTCCAGGTCCTTCTCAACTTCATCTTTAAGTAACGGTCGAGAATGACCCAGAAGCCTCACTCCATCCTTCAGTCAGTATTGCCTCGCGACAGACGGTTTCGTTTTTTATGGATTTGTGTTGCGATCGCTGCGAAAGGACGGCCAATATTGGACTGAAGTGCATTGTGGGATGTTTTAGAAATGACTGTTTACTTGTATTCTTCAAAACGAGGAAATCTCATCAGCCTCTTAACCATTTAGACCATTGTTTTATTTAATTTTATTCATTTTTATCAGCGCCCCCTGCTGTAGCGGAGGACACCTGTCGATATACAAACTAATTATTATAAAATCTAGGTCATTTTTTCCCCCTTAAAATTAGGAAAAATATGTATTTTACCTAACAAAAACCCTGTTCTACATATCTTGCATTATGATGTTATTTTCATGACAAATAAGCACATTTCACCTGAGATTCTCATGACTAAAGTGCAAAACAAATCTGTTATCCAAAAAAATATGATGAATTTTTATTAGTATTTGTACTTAATAGTATTCAATGCACTGCCTGATTTAAATACAATTTTACCGACACGTTATAGTAATGAGAATATGGAAATGCTGTCCAAAAACGAAAATATTTTGATTTCTTTATATTTTTCGGGGAATGAAACACAACCTGGACATTTTTCCCAAGTCTCACTCACATATAAAACTTAAAAGGGTTCAATATTTCTGATGTTACTTGTATTTTATGTATTTTTTTAATTAAATGAATGAAGGATGTTTGGAGTTGAGGTCACATTTTGTATTATTTAAAACTGTTTCCGGGAACAATTTCACTATGAATCTTAATTTGAACAGCACAGTATGTGGATCCTGCATTTCATACGTGTTTGAAGGTAATAATGTTTAATTTATTTGAACGATAGCGAAGCGTGTACAGTATAGCGAGCGTCACATTTAATATTACTCTGAGGAAACCGTAGATCTAGGCGTAGTAAACCTGTAGCAGGAAATACTGTTGCGTACTTTTGTAGTTGCTTGACTCTCGTCTGCCACTGTTACATCAGACTAGATGTACGATTAACAAGCCAAATAGTCTGAGAGTAGATTAGAGTGTAAACGTCACATCTGTATATAGTATAGAACTGATTTCCTTTTGTACTTCTAGAGAAACGCCGTGACCCATAGCCCACGTGTCTTTGTTCTGCAAGCATTCGTTCGCACACACAGCGTCCAATCAGATGTTTGAATGTGCTCACGTCGACAATAACAATTAAAAAACCACGTGCCTTTCCAAGCGGGTCTTGCAGCCGGAGTTTGAGGCCGACTGTTGAACTCCTACCACGGTTTGTCTTTCTTTCTCACTTCGAGTGAATGTGCCATATTTAGATGTTTGTGGCTCGGTGTTTTCGATTCGTCCTGGAGCTCGACGCTGCCATAGATCTGCGTGTCTTTAGCCGTGCGTCTGCCACTGAACCAGGGATCAAACTCCACATGCATCGCGTTCAGTGTTCGTCTTCATGCTTCTAGATCGGTTTCTTTTTCTTTCTTTCTTTTTTTTTGCCCCAGGCTCTTTTTAAAGCGTTTTTACTCCAGTTGATCTTTGTTGGTTTTGTTTTTGTTTCCTGCAGCTGTCTCTATGTACAGATGATGCTTTATTTGTAATACAGAAATAACTTCCTGTAAGTTTATTGTCACCTGTCAAATAAATGAAAAAGACTGAACTCCTGCTTCTCCTTTCTTTGCACGTGCCAGTATTGATTTATGTTATTGTGTCAGGACTGTTTGACTTTTTAATTTAGTTTTTATTTTTATCCCTTTAATTTTATGTTTTGTTTTTCACACAATTTTTTTATTTTAGTTTCAGTGTATTTCTTTTTTATTTTATGTTTTACTTTTTATTGTATTTATATTTTATTTTGTTATTTTTCATTAACTTTATTTAAGGCTTATGAATTCAAATTTTTTTTTTTTTTTAATTTTTACACTCATTTTTTCTAGTACGAGTATTATTTTATTTAGTTTGTTTTTATTATACTTTTATTATTATTATTAATAATAATTTGTAATATTTATTTCATAGTTGATGTGCTAACTAGTATAATTTAAACGTTTACAAATATTAAAATTGTGTTAAATATCTTAGCACAGTCTAATAATTCTGTTCAATTGTAAAGTTTTGAGTTTTATAACAATTTATTAAAAACTAAAATTGTGTACCTTTTAAGTTACAGAGACATAAAATACTTTAATAATATATTTTCTATTATAATAGGCCATTTATTGAAAACATAAAGCAATGTGTGGTGCTTTTAGGTTATACAGAGCCTTAAAAATATTTTAATATCTTTTTTTCTACTATAAAAGACCATTTATTTTGAACCTTTTAAGTTTGAGTCATACATTTGAATTTTTTTATGTTTTATATATTTTAAGGTTTTTATGTTTTTATTATAATAGACCACGTATCAAAACAATATAATTTGTGGCCATTTCAAGTTAGTATGAGAGTCATGAAAATATTTTTAATATGGTTATCGTTTAATTTTTTTTTTTTAATTTTTAATTTAATTTGAACTAAAGGCTTTCATTAATGATACCGTTTTGTGTAACTGATATTGACAGATATGTTCACTCTGTGATGATTTCAGGAATGTGCTAGAAAATCTGTCCTTTTCGATGCATTTACTCTAATAACCAGCAGAGGGCGCTCACAGACTTCAATTGAGTTCCTAGCATTACGAAAACATTTACATTGCTTACGTCGAACAACAATATTGTATTAGAATATAATACATAGTTACATAATACATATAAAGTATTTAGTAGTAACAAATCAAATACAACACTAGTCTAATAAATAATAATAATAATTTATAAATATATATCATTTAGTATCATTTATACAACATTAAGTTCTAGTCCCCAGTTTTGGATCCTATTAAACTAATATGATGTAAATATGCGCTTATGCAAAATCTTCTCTGTTTAAGGCATTATGGTTGATGGTGAAGTCAGATTTAGTTGTTTTTGGGAGGTTTGTAGGTTGGCCTGCTGTAGTTACACAGCACTAGTCTGGTTTTATTTGCACTGGTTGGTGGTGGAGTCTCGGATATTTTGAATTCAATTTAATTTTTATATTTTTGACTTTAATTTTGGTTAAAGTTTTTAGTAACTGTTTTGTGTGTTTGTCATTTTAAAAAATACGTCTTTAGTTTTTATTACTAACTTTTTATTGCGTATTTCTGTCGCAGGATAAAAGAGATCATTTGAAGAGTTCATTTGCAAAACCAGATAACTCTGGTTAAAAAATCATGTTTGTTTTTTTTATATCAAACTGCAGTTGGGTTATTTTGATTAAATAATAATAACTAAAATAAAATACAGCTAACTATCACAAAAACATGATAACACAATAAAAACATGATTTATAAAAAATTAACTCTTAAGAGTTATCTGTTATTGCAAATAAACTCTTCATATCTAGCCCTTTGTAGATTTTATGGATCTGGCTTCCGGTCTCCGTCTGCATCCAATTCCAGCTATTTTTAGCTTGATATTGCAAATTGCTGGTTCTTACCATATTATTTTAATGTATTATCTTAATTATGAACACACTGGTTTGTAGTGCAAACAGTTTGACCGTTCACTGCACCTTTTTCGTTATTTCTCTATAGCAGCTAATGAACCGGAAGTCTCGCCCATAAGCCTGCTTCAGCGTTGAAGAATAAGCTAAATCTATATTTAAATATCTTTAACAAGGCACATGATTATGCAATTATGTGTTTCATAATTATTAAGAGGTTTGTTTGAATCATTAAACTGAGCTATATGCTTGACTTAGCAAACACCACAAATAACCTAGGTAATGTTTGATTGAAACATGGTCTGTTTTTGCAATTTTTCATGAATAATCAAAAGGACGATTACTGGGTTAGAAAGTGTATTAAGTGTTGCTTTGAGAAATGTGCGCAGAGAGAGTGACTCTAGTTCATTCTGAGGGTATTGTTCAAGTGCGTGAAGTGGATCCTGATTTCAAGCTGAATACTGAATGATGCTGTTGTTTACTGAACATGTGAAAGTCAGGCAGGTGATTGTCTAAATCACTTTAGACTGCCACTTTGGGTAGATATTTGAAATTTGAAGGGTATTTAGCCTTGCCAGGTGGTTGCTAGGGTTCTCTAAATGGTTGCTAGGGTGTTGTTAGGTGGTCTAGACAGAGCTGGCTAACTGATTACATGTAATCAGATTCCACAAATTAAGTACTTGTAATTAGAGTATATTAAATACTCGTAATCAGAATTACTTTCTTAGGGATTATATATTATTTACAGAATAACAATTTTTTGATTCTCCCTAATTCCTCTTTTTCATCTTTTAAATTTTCCTCTCCTAAATAGCCTGCCGCTTACATAGACTCAGAAAGTCTTCCGGTTCTGTGGATATTCACACAGAGGTCAGTCACTAGTCAGGTGGCTAAACAGCATTTGAGGTTTAAAGGTCACATATTTTACCCCTTTCTGGAGTTTTATTTTAAGTCTTGAAGAATATAAGAATATATATTATAAGTCACAAGTATAAGTACCAAAAACCATCTCAGTATATTTTTACAGCTCCTCTCTCAGGAGCTCTGCTAAGAACAGGTTGATTTTGGTCTGTCTAATTAATATTCATGAGTCTCTCTTCTGATTGGCCTGTTGTTTTCTGAGTGACGCACGGCCAGGGTAACCACAGGTAACTAGGGTCAGCAGACGTCACAGCGCTAGCTGGAGGCAGCAAAACAAAGGGGAAACTGGAGGTGGCCCATTCAAACCAGCACAGATTCGGCTACATAAGAAGCTTAAAATATCATCTTGTTGTGATGTTGGGTGCCAGAATCGACGTAATACAGCCTCAAATTAGAAATTTGATCACATATCTGCTGCCACTGCCAGACAAAAAACCGACAACAGCTGTGGTTAAACGCGATAAAACGAGCAGACTGGACAGAAACGATCGTCAAAAATGCTCGCGTTTGCATCGCACACTTCTTATCAGAAAAAGGTTCAATAAAGTATTGTCTTTTGTTGTTATGGCGCGTCTACAGATTTCTTGCCATATGTCTATGTTTCTTGCATCTCACGACTACAGTGGGGGAAAAAAGTATTTAGTTAGCCACCAATTGTGCAAGTTCTCCCACTTAAAAAGATGAGAGAGGCCTGTAATTTTCATCATAGGTTAATTGTATATACATTGTTGTGATAAATTGTGGCTGGAACAATAATGTAGCTGAAAAATAGTTTCCAACTGAAAATGAAATGTATATACATCTTCATCATGACTAGACAGACACGGTGAGATGTGTTACTATACAAGTTAGATGTACCTCATAGTAACAATCCTGTCAGATCGTCCATCCTTTGAGTGAGAGTGTAACGTTACAGGTCGGCCGATCTGGTTTCGTGGTTAAAGTTAACCTTTCCGACATGTTTCCGTGTTGTTGTTGCTCAGCAATAGCATGGACGTGATGTTGTCTGGGGGTTTGGCTAAAGGAGAGTGGGACGGTGGGTGGTGCTCGGGGTGGTGACTGAAGTCGGTGACTGTGTAGTTCTGATGTCAACTTTTTATGGAAGTCACAACGGTTTGTGAAAAATCACAGCTACTTTATGCAGAGTGTGTGCATTTAACTGTGGACTGACTGTTTTGAAATATATATGGTAGTTAAATAGCAACCTAGACCTCAGTTATCGTGAAAAAAAGCCAGGAAATTTCAGTTTTGACAATTTGGGACCTTTAACCTCCATCAATACTGATGAACACATTCATTTTTATTTGAATGATCACTCAGTCGGTTATTTTACCATGTATTACTTTGGAAGGCGTAAGTCTTTACAACACATTAAAATGCACAAATTGACCAACTTTTTTTGGTCATCTGATCCTCTATCACCTAATACATTTTTATTTGCTGAGATTTAAAATAAATATTTTAATAATGTAGTATGACATTTGAATGTTCACGGTTCTCTGACGTTGATTACGGTCACATGGCATGCAGGTAAACAAATAAAAGATTTCATTTTTTCAGTAAGTGTTTTATTTCGATTATTTTCAAATTAATTGTTTTAGTTGAAAAAGTGTATGATTGAATTAATTATTAGCTTTTCATTAAACTCATAAACCCCGTGCAGTTCCTTCACAGACACCAGTTTGGGAAACCTTGACATAATATATATTTAATGCACTTCAAGTTGTTGATAACAACAAATAGAATATATTTTCTTACTCTTTATATCAATATGGTACAAAATTATGAAAATTTAAATCAATGAGATAAACAAGTTAGGTCAAAACTAATCTAAAAGTAGCCTGACTATATTACCTAAAATGTGTAATGTTAGAAACTACAATTTTTGTCATGTAATTTGGAGTCAGTAACAGATTACAATTTGGCTCTGTGTCTCGGTCCCTTCGATACAGTGCAGTCAGAACAGGCAGGTCTGTGCCGAGTTTGTGCAAAATCAGTGTGTTTTTCTTTATCAGGCTGACAGAAATGTGAATAAGAGCGCTGAATGTGGATTCCTCAGAGCTGAAAGTTCATCTGCACTCAATTATTA